GATGAAATATTTGCTTCTATATCCCTTTTTCCCTTTCTGTCCAGACAAACTGAGAATTCATTCCAGCTCAGTGACCTCGAATTTGGCCTTCTAGTGCAGCCTTGTATTTTTAAATTCTTTATGATATTTGCTTCCAACTGTCTCCTCAAGATATATTGCTCAGCACACCTTCCCAGGGACAAGGGGTCCCAATTCCAAATGGATGTACTGAGTCTTCCTGGCCAAGGTGACATCCTCTCCGGCAGCTATGGAAAGAGTATTTGCTATAGGGACAGTGGATGGTGCTGACATATCCCTTGGCTGCTAACATTTGGTTTTGGAGTGATGGGACATGAAGGACAATTGATCTCATTTGAGTTCTTGGAGAGGGTGGAAGCATCATCATTGCTTTGCAACAGTGCTTCTCACTTCCCACTAGTCTCGGAGAAGAGCATCCCAGTTCTCAGCCAGGGCCCTGGGGTGCTTCCACTGGAGGCTCTCAGTCAGTCTGAACCAATGTTCAGGGATGAGATCCAGTCACTCTGATCAACTCTTCTGGGCTGCCTTTGGCTTTCAGTGCTTACTCTGTTGCTGTTATGGTTGTATATCGATGTTCCCCTAAAGCCTTGTATAGTCATGGGGAACAGTATTTTGAGAAGTGGCTGAATCTAGAGTTTGTGATTGGTTCATTGTCTAACGCTAGGTTGGGTGTGAGTGCTACACCTACCCTAAAGCAGGTAGCCTGCATATAGTAGAAGGGAGGAAAAGAGACTTGCTGGTCTCCCTTTTACTCTTGTGGCTTTTGCTGTATTCTGCCACCATAAATGGTTATCCTTCTGCCATGTGCAACCCTGCCTTAGAGCCAGATGATTATGGACTAAAGCCTCTAGAAACTGTGAGCTAAATAAACCTCCCTTCCCTTAGTTTTAAACATCAAATATTTTGTCTTGCAATCAGAAAAGTAACTGACACAGAATTTGGTACCAGAAGTGGGATTCTTGCTGTGACTATACCTGATCATATTGTTCAGGAGCCTTTAAAAATAGTTTGTGGGAAGAGTTTGGAAGTTTCAGATACACCAACTGAAAAAGTAGAGCTGAAGTGACTTGGGCTGCTTTGTATGGGAGATCCTGGTCAGAGCCCAGGAGACCAAAATACTGTTGAAAATCCTGCCAGTAAAGACCAGGTGTGGGAGGTTTCTGCTGGAAGAACTGCATTGGCTGTTAGAGTCCAGGCAATGTCTGTTATAGCCTGGAAGAAAGTTTGTCTGCATTTTACCTGTGCCTAGAGACTGAGATTAAGGGTGGTGGCCTAACTAATCTTATGAAAAAATTTCAAGGCAATCAAATATTGAGGTGGTGACTTGGCTATTGTTGGGGGATTTTAGCCAGGTTTATGTTGAAAATCAAGAGCAAAGAGCTCTGTAAAATGATTTAAAACAGTGTGAATTTGTCCAGAAAGGAAGCTCCAGTAGATCCTTGGACTACAGAGACGAAGAGATCTTGATTGCTGAAAAGAAACAGAAAAATACAAAACATAGCCCAAGGGAATCACAAAGAGCAACAGAACTCCACTTCTTACATCCTCGTAACTTCAAAAATAAAAAATTTTGCTTTAAAAAGAAAGCTTCAGATCACTATGTTCCCGAATGGTGGTGGCTGGAACATGCTTCAGAATGGTAGCAGCCTGGAGAATTTGTTCCTTAGAATTGGATTCAGAGTGCCCAGCAATCCAAGCACTTGATGATACCTACAGCCAAGAGAGGGAGAGAAGTCTGGCTACTGCTCCAGCTGGCAGCAGACCTTGGCATCATACACATGATGCTGGTTTTAGGTACAAAATGGGATTAAGAAGGCTTCCACCTGTATTTAAAAGGCCTGGGAGGCCAGAAAGTGCCCCCCCTAAAAGGGCAGTGTGAGGGTAAAGCTATGAGGGTAAAGCCAAAGATGCAGTGGAGACCCCAAAAGTTTGGAAAAATGAAAAACGTAAGTCATCTAAAAAAACCAACATGGAAGGAGCCACGCCAGTCTAAGACAAAAATCATGGGAGCTACTACTACCAAAAGTTCCATGGGGGCAGAGCCACCCAAGCTATTTAGAGCTCACAACTAACTGCAGAGTGTCTCAGATGTTGCATATGGAACTACATAACTTCATGTTTGCCCTGCTGGATTTTGGACTTGCTTTGGTCCCATTTTTTTTGTATTCCTCTATTTGTAACTTTTAGAATGGAAATGTTTAATTTATCATGTGCCATTAAATGCTGAAAGTGTTTAATTTTCTTTTCATTTATATATGGGCTCACAACCAAAAGTTTACCTTAAATCTCAGGGGACACTTGGGAATTTAACTTTTCAGCAACGCTAAAACTATTAGGACTTTGATAACTCTTAGAGATGAACTAAATGCCTTTTGTAAAATAGACATAAATGAGTCTTTGGGAGGTCAGGGGCAGAATGTTGTAGTTTGTGTCTGGATGACCCACCAAAGCCTCATATGGTCATGGGAGGGGCGGGCTTTTCAGAGTTGGCTAAATCTAAAGTTTGTGATTGGTTCATTGGTGTGAGTGCTACATCTGCCCTAGGGTGGGTAGCTTGTATGAAATACAAGGGAAGAAAATAAGCTTGCTCCTCTCCTTTTGCTCTTGTTGCTTTTGCTGTCTTCCACCATCATAAATTATTACCTCTCTGCTAGGCCACCCTGTCTTGGAGTCAGCTGATTATGGACTAAAACACTTGCAAGCTGTGAGCTAAATAAACCTTTCCTCCCTTAACCTTGGGTGTCAGGTATTTTGCCACAGCAACAAGAAATGGAACAAAGACAGTTGCTCTTTGTGACATGAGGAAAATGAATTTGATCAGGTCTTTTCCCCCTGCACTCTGAGTTACACTGAGCGTTTCTCCTGAATATTTGTGTATGGTGAGAGAAGGTGCTGGGGTTTTGGTTTTAAAATCAGGAAACTCCCCTTTAATCTGTTACATTTTAAACTTTGTTTACAAGATTTCCTTTAAAGAAAGTGACTTCCTAAAATAAAGTGACTTCTTGTAAAAAGGAAGTTTTGTAAAACCAATGGGATAAATCCACTTATTTGCACATCAGGCTGTGCTACAGGCTTGGAGATTCCAGATGTGTCAACTGCTATTGTTGCCTTGCTTTGACCCCATGGACCCATCATTCTTTTATTCATCATGCTCTTATTCCATGCACACAGGACTCTGCCTCTGGGCTTTCTTGGTATGCAGCAGCATGCTTGCCCATTGAGCAGAGCTGTCTGGAAGTGCTGGGGACAGATATCTGCAGGAGTAGCCTTCAAGGAACAGATGGAAATTAGCAGAAAATACCCCTTGGTGGGGTAACTCGGAGGCTTGTGCTATATGATCTCCCAGAAGTCCCGCTGGGAACATCACTCAGTTGCACATCAACACATCGTATTTTGGCTGCCTTCTTTTCCATCTTGCTTTCCAAATCCCCTGCTGGTGTCTTCTGGGATCACCTCCCAAATGTACTTACTACTTGCTCTTGAATCCCTGGCTCAGTGTCTGTCCAAGGGAGGAACTGGGGGTTTCCTAGCTTGTCCTGTGGATCTTACAATTTTATGTGTGTTTATTAGGTGATGTTGAGCCCCCAAAGGATCAGAGTCAAGGACCCAAAGCTGCCTTTGACTGGGGCAAGCTCCAAGTCAGTTTTTAAACCAATCTCCTGATTGAAAGTTGCCAAGTAGTTACTGAGTGCCAACTGTACGCCAGTCCTATACTGGGCTCTGGGACAGGGAGCCAAGCATTGGAGTAGAAAAATGGCTGATTAAACTCCCTCCTTTAGCAAGGTGTAATGGAGCAGGCCCGTATTCCCAGGATTTGTGAGGGTGAGCCAGAAGAATTGCAAGTTGGAGACCAGCCTGGGCTACAGAGTGAGACATTGTCTCAAAAAAACAAAAACAAAACATCTCTCTTTTAAGATCCATTGATGTTCTCTTGAAGTTGGGCCCAGTGAGTTATAATCTGCTAAGAAAAGGAAAGACTTAATCCTCAAGCATTTTGAAAATAAAAACAAGGCAACAGGGGTGAAATTTCTTGAGTTGTCTTACAACTCACAGGTACAGTAGATAGAGATACAGATACATCATTCATTATATATGTGCATAGGCACACATTGGTAACTTCTTTGTTCAGTAACACTGAGTACTGTTTCAGCCTTTGGAAGCAATGTAAGGCTTGGTTCTTCATCTAGTTGTAGAACGTAGTTAAAACTCAGCTAGTTGCAGAATTCCTTAGCCAGCAGCACTGGGACCCTCTCGGAGGCACAAAAAACCAAGGGCAGAGTAAGCAGCAGAATGCTTAAGTCCCCAAGTAGCCATCTCCTGATCCTTCCAATCTTAATAAGTGAAATCCCACTGGAGAAGAACCTAACCAAGGTAACAGGGTCCAGCTCCTAAGAGAACTGTTTAACAACTGAGTTGCACAGGGCCGTGGACCTTCATGTACACCAACTTTTATGTGTGACTTTCTCCTCCAGCAATCGCGTCGGTTCCTGGCTCCATGCGATTAGGTTGCACCTTTCATCAGCTTGGGCAGGAGTGCAAAGCTGTTATGTGAGAAACTTTGCTAAGTTGCAGCAGAATCTGAAGGCTGCGTTGTCTGGCATTGAAACAATTGGATTATTTGTTCAAATAAAACGGGTCAATTCATTTAAAGAAAACAAAAGCAAAGTGCATGGTGGTTTGGCATGATGAATACCAAAAGCACTGGCCGAGGGAGGAAGTCCTCACGTTTCACCAGCCAGGTCCGCAATTTGTAGTCTCAGCCTCTCTGTAGCTATTGTTATTTTTCCCTTTCTTTCTTATTTTTAATAAAATAAACTTCTGGATTCCACTGTTGAGATCCCAGTTGGCTGAAAAGGACCTCTTTCTTTCTTTTGGCTCCTGCCGTCTTTTTCTGTCCCTGAGATAAGGATTATCAGGGGGCCAGTTTCTGGGGTTGGGGAAGAAGGGCTGACTTGGGTGGAGAAGGGGTGCAGCCTGTTTCCTTAAGTCCACATCTGAGCACTGGCCCAGCTGCTCCTGTGTCTCAGGCCAAGAAATTGTCTTTTTATTGCCCCTTAGGTCTGAAGAGAGGCTTGAGCCAGGCGCTAACATGGAGTTCTTGGGAAGGAGGAGACTGGGTGAGTGTGCCCTGTGCAAGTGGATTCTCCTGAAGGTCTGGACAGTCCCCTGGTGGTGTCCAGCCCAGTTCTTGCAAACTTCAGAGAAAGTTAGATCTGCATGCCAAGTAAAAGCTTCTTGATCACTTGGCTCCCCAGGGTGGGCACAGTCCAGCCTCCTTCTACAGACAGGGAGAAGGTGTTTTCTTTCAGTTTGCTGGCAGAGTAAGGACCAGGGACTGGCTTTCTTGGCTTCCCACCAGGCTCCCTTTTGATCTGAAGGTAGAAGAACCTTTAAAGACAGGCTCTAAGTGAGCACCTGAGGAAAAGCACTGGTGAGGGTTCACATTTCCCTTTACATGCTCGCTTGGGCCTGTTGGAGACTGACAAAGTCAAACCATGGCTATTTTTCTCCTAGTACTGAACTGGATTGCTGCTGCTTCTTGGATTCCCACAGAGTATAGCTAGTTCATACTTAGATAAAGCGAAATAATGGTGTTCAACGCTAGCTTACTCTCTACATGCAGTGGTGGTGATGCCAACAAAGTGGTGTCAGTGGACCATCAGAGCGCATCTGCCTGGCATTCATTTTGGAGCTTGTGGCCAGTCAGTGAAAGGATGGGTGGGGCATATGCTGTTAGCTTGTTTCCTTCTCTCTGCTTGTTTGTTTGAACATATCTATTTGAATCTGGGTAGATGGCTTGTGGCTGTAGCGTGATTCACTGCAGACCACGTGCTATACTTTTGGATTTTAAATGTCTCCAATGGTCCATGTCCTAATGGTGAGGTCCCCAGCTTGCTGCCATCAGGAGGTCTCAGGTTAAATGGGGATGTGTCCTTGATGGGCACCGTGAGACCCTGGCCTCTTCCTTTATTTCCCCAGCCATGTGGTACAGAGGTCTCTACTATGTGTCCCCACTATGATGTACGGTGCTGCTATGGGTCAAAACAATAGGATCCATTAATCATGAACTGACCACTGTAAAACCAAGACCCAAAATAAACTGTTTCTCAGATGTATTCATTTCAGTTATTTGTTAGGGTAAAGGAAAGTTGACAGGTCACCATGGTTAAGAGCAAGAATTCTGCACTCACAAGGTTGTGATTCTGAAGTTTGGTTCTGCTTCTGTCTCATGACTGTGCAACTTAGATGATTTTCTTTGTCCTTGTTTCCTTATCTGTGAAATGGGAATGATACTACTTGCATGATGAGGTTGCTAAGAGATTTACAGGAGGAAATGTGTCCTAGGTGCTAAGCACAGGGGCCTGGTTCAGACAAACACAACCAGCTGCGAGGATTTTCACTCCAGAATGTGATGATACAAATGATTTTCCCAGAGCAAATATTACACTATATACAGAACTTTCTAATTTGGGATTTCATGGTTTGCCCTTCACCTCTCCCCCTTTATCCCTTCCTATTCCTTTGGCTTGGTTTATTTTCTATGAACCAGTTTGAAAATGAAAGCATAAACATAACAATAGAATGTGAGGGGTCTTCAGTTGCAATGCAGACCTGAGGCTCAGGGTAGAATTTCCCCTTTTCCCTGGCTGTGAGTAGCCTGTTTTAGTCTCTGTCTCAAAGAAAGACCATATTGGCCCAAGTATCATTATCTATGCACAGAGTAGTTACCTCTGGAATATTAATTGCTTAAGAATTAAAAATTATCATTTGTACTTAAATGCTTGAAGATATAAAAGCAAATCTGGTGTCTAGGACATACAATACAGTCTTAGGGCACTCCTCTTTGGGTCCCAGCTTCTAGCATTGTACAATGAAGAGGTTGAATTATTATTATTATTATTATTATTTTGAGACAGGGTCTCGCTTTGTAGTTTAGGCTGGTTTTGACTCACTTCGACTTTGAGCTCATGGCAGTCCTCCTGCCTTAGCCTCCCAAGTGCTGGAATTACAGGTATGTATCATCATGCCAAGTTTAATTCTTTTTCACGGTGAAAATCTTTCATTAACCAAAAGCCTACACCCTGACCCAATATACGAAGAACAAAAAATCAGACCATCTGAAGCTATTTTGGTTGACGAGCTCACATGCACCCTGGAGTTTTTCTGATTTAGGGTCTTCTTTGTCTCCCCAAAGAGCTTGTTATGGACCTTCAAAATACCTCTGGTTCCAAGAAAAGAAACGCTCTGTCCTAAGTGGTCTCAGTTAAATGACACTTCTATCTTAGTCTAGAATCCTACAAATCCCAGCAAGAAGGAACTGGATCCAAGATAGACTTTGAAGTGACCATGGAGTGGAGGCTGTCTAACTTTTGGACTGCTTTCCCGTGAGAAGCTCTTTCTTAACTTTTTGCAAAGGTCATCTCATTTAAGCCGAACAACCTTGCATGAAAGGATCCACTATTATTATCCCCATTGAGGAGACTGAGGCTTAGGAGGTCAAATAAGCAGCCAGTGTTATCAGCTGTCTGCAGCACCCACATTCTTTACCATTTTCTAGCTTCAGGCTGTCGAGGTCAAGAAGACAGTAGTGGCTGCTGTGTGTTATTGCCTTACTTACCACTGAAAACCACAAGTTAGTGCAGTTGTTTAGAAGTGGTTGCCAGATGCAGTTTTTGTTAATGGGTCTGTGTAAGTTGGAATGCTAGGAATATAAATAATTCCCATCCTGAATGAGCATGCGTGCCCTCTTTGTGGACACCGAGGCCCTCAGAGACTTACTCTACGTGTGCTCGGGGAGTCCGGTGGTCAGAGATGCTTCATAGGTGACCGGGGCAGGCTGGGGAAGGTTGCTTTCTCTTTCCTCACTGGCCAGCTTCAGGAGCTCTTCCTCACCCAGCTCAGTCAGACTCAAACTTCTCACAGACCAGGTCCTTGCTAATTAGGGTGACTCAAGCCCAGGGCTAAGCCAACAGACTTGGTAAATGATACAGACAGCCCCAAATCACTTTGGCCCTGCGCTGTCCTTCTGACTCATCATCCTCTACGTGACTGGACTTTCTGGTCCCCCTTTCCCCTCCTGAGTATTTTTCTGTTTACAAAACATTTTAAAATACATTTTCTTGTTTGATCCCCCAATCACCTCTAGGAGTTAGGTGATCCCAGGCTTACTTTCCAGACGCAGAAACCAAGACCCAGTGGAGTTCATGATTTGCTCTCAATCGCATAGCTACTAATTAGCAGAGCAATGATTCAAGTCCAGGCATTCTGTCTCCAAATGATAGAGCCCAACTCTGACTCAGGCTCTGGGATTTAACATTCTCTTTCTTTTCCCTCCTAATTTGACTCGTGACTTCATAAACTCTAATCTCTTCACCCGCAATTCCTTCTCAGTGGTGGATAATTTCTGCTTTACTCCTTTGCCAGCATAGCACTCCCTTTGCCTCCTGCTTCATTCTTGTACTGTTTCTCACAAACTTTTATGAAGCACCTACTGTGGACCAGGCACTGAGTTCAGGACAGAGGCTAAAAGGAAGAATGTGACTTCTCTACCAAGCTGGATATTGTTGTGATTGATATTTTGTCAACTTGAGAAGTTTAGAAGCTTAACTAAGAGCCTCAACAGGGAACCAGGGTTCTTACTTTGTAAATATCCTCATTCTCTGCAAGAGCAGGGCAAGGAGATTTTATGAGTGCTGCACTGGCCCTGAAGGGTTGTGGGGAGTGGCCTGTATACAATATAAGGGAGGAAAAGAGGCTTGCTCTTTACCCTTATTGCTCTGGCTGCTGCCTTGAAGTGCTGCCCCAGTGCCCTGCCACATTGCCTTGGAGCCAGCTGATTATGGACTGAAACCTCCACAGACTGTGACCTAAATAAACCTTTCCATCTCTCATTTTGGATGTCGAGTATTTTGTCTTAACAATGAGAGAAAAGTAACCAAGATGGATACCTTCAACTAAATTCATCTCTCTTCCATTGGTTTCTTCATATATGCCTTAAATATTGGCCCAAAGCAAATAAATGAACAAACAACCCCCCCCCCCCCAACCACACACACACACACCACCAACCACACACATATCAATGAAGAGGAGGTTAAGGTGGGAAGAGGATCTGAGCTGTGAAATATAGATGGACAGCTCTGGGAGGAACAAAAACTGCAGTGGCGTTGCTTAGGCCTTGCACGTGAAGCTGAGAAAGGAACAAGGCTGCTGGGGAAAGGTAGAGAGCCGAGATGCTGACAGGCTGGGTCTACCACTCAGACTGTTTAGGCTACAGTGAACTTCGGAGAAAAGTGAATTAATCATTGACATTTAAAAACCAGACCAATTTACATGCAAATCTAGGTTTCTGGCTCCTCTTTCATCATGGAAATATCCAGCAGTATTGAGTCAACACCCAAAAGCAACAGGTGACAGGTGCCGCATTGTCAGGATCCCCACTGCTCCCGGATAGCCTGCTTCCCGCACATCCTCTGCCTGCAGGGAGCGCTGGTTGGGAAGTAGGTCTAGGGATGCTCGGTCTCTGGATAATGTACTCGAGGGTAGGTCTTTTTTTTTTCTTTTTTGAGGGTAGATCTTCTTCTTCTGGCTTTATCTTAAATTCTTGGTCTTTGCCCCAGTTCCCATTCCTAAGACCCGAGCCTGATATTCCTAAAGGGAGCACAGACTCCTTCAGTGGTATCTAAAGAAAGTTAGAAATGGAAAGGCCACCGGCCTTGCCTGTGAAGAAGAAAGGATACGGGGTTTTGGGAATTTGATGTTCCGTGTTGGAGCCAGTTAACAGTGGAGACGAGGGCCAGAGAGCAATTTTCTTTACTCTCCAGTTGCCATTACACTGATTTCACCCTCCATGTAATCTTGTTATACTAAGACGACACCACACAACGTAAATTCATCCTCTGTTCTCCAGTGAGACAAAGGCTTGCTTGCTTGCCCTTTTTGCTTTTATGAAAAGTCATCGCAGTGTATTTTACTTTGGCCTGGATCTGTTTTTATGAAAAAAAAAAAAAATGAGGGACCTAAAGGCATATCTGGCACATGCTCCAAAGAAAACAGTGCCTTGAATTCTGAGTTGTTTTTGTTCCCTGCCTAAATTCTTTGAAAATTCTGCAAATGA